TTTTTTTTTTTTTGAGACAGGAGCCTCCAGCTGTCCCCCTAGGTAGAGTGCTATGACATCACAGCTCACAGCAACCTCCAACTCCTGGGCTTAAGTGATTCTCTTGCCTCAGCCTCCCAAGTAGCTGGAACTACAGCACCCACCACAACGCCTGGCTATTTTTTGGTTGTAGTTGTCATTGTTGTTTGGCAGGTGCAGGCTGGATTTGAACCTGCCAGCTCTGGTGTATAAGGCTGGTGCCTTAGCCGCTTGAGCTACAGGTGCCGAGCCTTCTTTTTTTGGTTTTTTTTTTAGACAGAGTTAAGCAGTCCATTTGTCTCAGCCTCCCAAGTAGCAGGTACTACAGATGTTTTTCTATTTTTTTAAGTAGAGACAGGGTCTTGCTCTTGGTCCGGCTGGTCTCTAAATCCTGAGCTCAAGCAGTCTACCCACCTCAGTCTCCCAAGTGCTAGGATTACAGGTGTGAACCACCTGTGCCCCACCTAAATTTAACAGAGTTCCATTGAGTAAAGAATAACTTAGGAACTGAGCAGCTGAATTGAGCAGAGAGACTTCAGCACTACCACATGGTTAAAGAGGGTTTACGGATAGTACATTTGGCATTCGCGTTAAACAGCTCGAACAGTTGGCCACCTTTGTTTGACCAGAACTCCATGATCAGCAAAGAAGGAGAAGGGAAGAGGGAAGGTAAATGGAGCCAACTCTAGCTGGGACATTTTTGTTTTCAAACTTTTTTTTCTTATACATGTATATTAGGTTTCCACATTTGCCTTCACAGAATTAAAAAGGCCAAATTTAATGACAATAACAATGTTTAACATAAGGACTGAGAACAAAAAGCTCATAAAGAAGAAATGAATATATTCAGAAAAGAAATCAGACGATTGCTGCAATGAAATATTAAGCAATAATAATAGTAATAATGCAAAGAAAATAACTTTTTTTTTTACACTATTTGTCCAATCTGCCTTCCACTCAATGTCAGCTTCATCCTAAAGTTGGCTCCCTCTATAAAACAACTGCCACCACTAACCAGAACTGCATGGACTTGAGATATACATGGACATATCTAGTGAGAGAATTTTTCCCTATATAATCAGAAAAAGGCATGGGCTTCTTCTGGTTAGACAATCTTCAGTCACCTGCTCATGCTTGAATCAATACTAGGGAGGATGGGATGGGATTATGCTCTTTGTCATGAATAAATCAAGTCCTTCCCTGGAGCTGGAGTTAGGTCTCACATCACCCAAAATGTATATCTAAGACTAGGATCTGCTTAGAAAGAGGGAAGATCTTAGTTGATGCTAAGGAGACAACTAACAATGTTCTTTTCAGAAACCCATTAAGCCAGGAAGATGAGGAACTTAGTTTAATACATGAACATTCATCTGGCAACTGCTCTGTGCTGGTTACTGTACCAAGTCCAGAGCCATAAAAATGAGTAAAATATCTTTTTTTAATCAAGTGGAAGAGGCAAACACATGAACAATGTGATAAGGGCTTTGACAGAGGATAGTACAAGTTCTGAGAAGCAGAGAATGAAGCAAATAACTATGCCTCAGTCCCCAGACTTTTCTGTTGAAGGTTTGTTTGGTTTAAATATTACTGATAGAGGCTAAGAACCTCAGAGACCAAACTGCATGGAGTGACGTAACAGACAGGCAGAAAATTTGACTCCAAACCTTAGGGCCTCAGGAGATGAGTCAGGCCTTAGGACCTAAGGCCTGTGTTGTTTCAGCACACAACAAAGATATGAACTGTTTGAGGAAACTCCTTTATTGCCTCTTTTTGTTTTATATATTGGGAATCTTTCCGTCAGTGTTTTTTGAAGAAAGAGTTCTCTTGCTAAATGAGTCTGAACCACGGATCTAACCCACTCCCTTCATTTAACCAAGAAGGAAATCAGACCCAGAAAAAGGAATGGATTTGCCCAAATCTCTTCATCTTACTAATCCATTCATCTTACTAATGCTTGAGCCAAGACCAGAACCCAGCAGTTCTGACTCTCAGCCCCGTTCCTGTCCTAATGGCTTACTCGGCTTTGAGGAAGAAAATCTGTGGCCAGTTTATGATAGGCAAGTACCCAGTGATGAAAAGTTCTGAAGAAATCAGAAGAATGGCTTGAGAGGGGGAGAGGATGGACTTCAAAAAGATAGGACTGTCCCCTCCAACTTCAAGAAGCTCAGAGTGAGAGTGGAATGTGGCCATTTGGATCCCTCTTTCCTGCAATGTAAAAGACATACAGAGAATCAGACTCCACTCAAGATGAAGACTGAGAAAAGTAGGCTAGAAATTGGCCAAGCGGCTATAAGGGGAAGCTCAGGAGGGGGCAAGACTGGCATGAGCAAACTATCTTATTCTCTTCTCTCTCACAGTGCCTTATGGCTAGGATGGAGGAAAACTTGAAAAAACACTTTCCATCTTTTCCCAGACCAGAGAGAAAATGTAGAAATGGGAGACCCCATACTCAGAGAGGGTAAACATGCTGTTGAAGTTTCGAGCCAAATCCAGGCTTTCAAAGGAAGAAATCTACTCTGGGACCCACCTTCCTCTATCAAAATCCAGTTAGCAAATAAACAAATCAATCTGGATGTGCACAGGTCCATCCTCTTAATACATACGATACCTGCATTCATTCCCTCTGGTGTGGGAATCTAGGGTATGAGTGCCAACATATACATTTGTCCAAAGGAGCCATTTTTTCCCCACAAGTCTTTCTTACTGAGTCTTAATAGCCTTATTCTTTGCACCTTCATAAAATCTCTGCCACAGTGAGACACTCCTAGAGGCCTTTTAACAACTCTGCCCAGGCCTAGGGTCTCCTGGGACTACAGGCTTTACAAAAGCCAGAACCCACCCTCTGGACAGCAGAGAGGAACGCAATGCATTCTTTTTGTCTTTGCTTCAATCTCTCTCTCTTCTTTGTCTTTCTCTCTTCTCCCCATCTCTCCTTTTCTTTCTTATTCCCCCATCAATTCCCTTTCCCCATCCTAAGCCTTGCTAGTCCTCTGACTCCACTGGGACAACTGCAGAATGGAGTCAGAACACCAGCCCAAAGGAACACAAAGAAAGCAGGAAGGCAACCACCTGACCGCCATCTCTCTCCCTCTCAGGCTTCCTGAAATGGATGTCACCCGCCTGCTCCTGGCCATCCTGCTAGTCTTCATGTGCTACTTCACTGCCTACAGCCACCTACCACCTGAGGAAAAGCCCAAAGATGACAGGAGCCTGAGGAACAACTCCTCAGTGAACCTGCTGGATTTCCCTTCTGTCTCTATTGTGGGTAAGTAGCCTGGCCTGGGGCTCAACCTCTGGGCTCTGACCCTTGAGATGGGGCTGCAGGATGTCAAGCCTGCTCCCCAGGATGCTACCAGTATCTACTACCATGGGTCACTGCTTTTTCTTGCTTACTGCCTGAATTAATCCTGGGATAATAAAGTGTCCCATGAGTCATTTGGTCTGGAAAGGCCCCCCATGCCACTAATCTAATAACGTGCAGTTTAGCAAGTTAGAGGCTCTGAAAAACCTAAAGTCAAGACACTTGGTGAACTTGGTTTAACTTAGCATTTCTGACACTTAATGAATCCCAGAGCTCCTATCAACAATAACAAACTTCAGGAAGTACTGCAGAATGTAAGCAAGGCTGAGATGAATCAGTCTTGGCAGGCCAGCGTTAAGAATGACTGTTCAGGGAAAAATATGAAGGGTATTAGAATCTGGCACTGGAGATCTTCTAGTTTGGTTTTACCTAATAATAACACCCACACCATGTAGTAGGCAGTGTGAGGTGGGGTGAGTACCATTTTTACTCATATTTCACAGTTGAAGAAACTGAGGCTTAGCAAAGTTAAGTAACTAAAATAAGACAATATGGTTCTTAATTAGCAAAGCCAGAATTCAAATTCAGCTACTTAACTCTAGAACCTAAGCTCAAAACTAATATTCTAGGCTGGCATGAGGGCTCATATCTATAATCCTAGCACTCTGGGAGGCCGAGGCAAGCAGGTGGATTGCTTGAGCTCAGGAGTTCAAAGCCAGTCTGAGCAGGACTGAGACCCTGTCCCTGCTAAAAATAGAAAAACTAGCTGGGTAAGGTGACACACACCTGTAGTCTCAGCTGCCTGGGACACTGAGGCAGGAAGACTGCTTAAGCCCAGCAGTCAAAGGTCATGGTGAGCTATGATGATGCCACTGCATTCTACCTGGGTGACAGAATAAGACCATCTCAAAACAAAACAAAAACAAAAAAGCTTTATGTCCCTTACTGCCTTGCCTTTCACTAGAAAACAAGATATTCTAAACATACCAGAGAAGGAGGACAGGGAAAGGGGGCATCAACATTCACTGATCACCTTCAATGTGCCAGACTCTTCACTTTATAAACATATCTATTCTCAAGAAAAAACTGTAAGGTAGTTATAACAGAACTCTTTTTGCAGATGAGAAAACTGAGTTTCAAGGAGGTTAAGTAGATTACATAAGGCTACACAGCTGTTTTGTCTGCAGTGAGGATGCAAATGAGGTCTGCTTTGCTCCAAGGTTCTGAGACATGGAAAACCAAGAATATAGGAAATACAGGTCCATTCATGTACCCAATACTGAGTCTGTTTTCTGGGTATCACAATGTTCTTGCACCTGCCAGAATGGAGACTAAAGAACGGGAACCTGGGGTGCTTCTGAGTAGCCCAGAGCCAACAAGGTCAAGGGACCAGACCCCTCATGAATATGACAAGACTAGGGCCTCTTTGGATTTCCCATTTGCCTTCCCTCAGAGGATGTCTGCCCTCAGTGCCTTGCTCCAGGTCAGCAGCTAAGCTCATAAGAACTTGCTGGCCTGAGTCCCACAGTGTAACTCATCCAGCCAACCCCTCTTTCTCTCCTACTTTGAGCCCTCTCTAGTCCTCTTACTTTGCTGCAATTCAGAGTCCCCAGAAACATCTGGCTTTTTTCCTTTTGTCTCTCTTTGAAGCTCTGAACAAGAAATCCAAAAAGATCAACAGAAAAGAAGCAGAAAAGAAGAGACCATCTAAGGTAGGCCTGGGAGTTCTCATTGTGGGGGTGACACTGAACTTAAAAGAGGAGGACTTCTCAAGCTCTGGCTGGAAATATTAATGAAAGATTCTCCAGGCCCACATTAGCAAAAGAATTTGAAAGCTATCTAAAGACTTCCTGGCCTAGATCCCTGAGCCAGACCCCCACAGAAACCCAGGGAGCAAATAGCTTATCTGCTGAAAAACAGCTTCCTATGCTAATTAGCCGCCCCTCTGAAATTTCACTGTCACTCATTCTTTTGGATGAATATAGTGTTTCCCAAACCCCAGTCATTTTAGAACCACATTTAAAATGTTTGCCACATCTGAGTTTCACCTACTTATTTAATATGTTCATTTAAAATTAAGATATAAAGCCAGGTGTGGTAGTTCATGGCTGTAATGCTAGCACTCTGGGCAGCCAAGGAGGAAGGATAGCTAGAGGCCAGGAGTTTGCGACCAGCCTAAGCAACATAGCAAAACCCCATCTTTACCAAAAAAAAAAAAAAAAATTAGCCAGGCATAGCTCGAACCTATAGTTCCAGCTACTTGGGAGGGTAAGACAGGAGGACCACTTGAGCCCAGGAGTTTGAGGTTGCAGTGAGCTATGATATGCCACCACACTCTAGCCTATTGGACAGAGCAAGAGCCTATCTCTAAAAATAAATAAATAAAAATTTAAAAATAGATTCGGTGCCCATAGCTCGGTGAGTTGGGTGCTGGCCACATACACTGAGGCTGGCGGGTTCAAGCTGAGCCCAGGCTTGCTAAACAACAATGACAACTGCAACCAAAAAATAGCCAGGTGTTGTGGTGGGCACCTGTAGATCCAGCTACTTGGGAGGCTGAGGCAAGAGAATTGCTTAAGCCCAAGAGTTGGAGGTTGCTGTGAGCTGTGATGCCTCCACATAATGAGACTCTGCCTAAAAAAAAAAAAAAATGTTAATTAAAACATAAAAATATACAGTTGACCCTTGAACAACACAGATTTAAACTGTGCAAGTCCACTTACATGTGGATGCTTTTTCTGATCAATATATTGGAACACTTTTTGTTATTTATGTGACAACTTGATAAAACTAATAGATGAAACTTGTTGCTTAGAAGTATTGAAAAACTTAAGAAAAAGTTAAGTACATTATGAATGTGTAAAATATATCTAGATACTAGTCTACTTTATCATTTTCTACTATAAACATATGCAAATTTATTATAAATGCTTAAAATTTATCAAAACTTACACACACAATTATAGACTATACAAGACTCCATTCACAGTTGAATGTAAATAAACATAAATAACTTCCTATAGTATATATTATACTTCTGTAATCATTTCATAGCCATCTCCTGTTGCCATTGCAGTGAGCCCAAGTGTTGCCAGTAAAGACTTAAAACACCATATGACACTAATCATCTCCAAATGCGCAGTTCATCTTTATTGCATATTGCAATAAAAAGTGATCTTTTTATAAAACACCATGGGACCCATATGAAGTGACACTGGAAGTACTCCCAAGAAGCAGAGAAAAAATCATGACATAATGAGAAAAAGTTAAATTTCTCGATATATACTGCAGACTGAGGTCTGCAGCTGCCATTTCAGACAATTCATCTTGTTAACAGATGAAGTAAACTTAAGAGTATTGAGAAATACAGTATAATACTATAATGTAAATGTATGTATTTTCTCTTATGATTTTCTTAATAACATTTATTTTCCCTAGCTTAACTTTATTGTAAGAATACAATATATAAGACATATGTTAATTGACTGCTTATATTATCAGTAAGGCTTCCAGTCAGCAGTAGGCTATTTGTAATTGAGTTTGGAGGAGTCAGAAGTTGTATGCAGATTTTCAACTACTCTGGGGTCAGTTCCTCTAACCCCCACATTGTTCAGGGGACAACTGTATATAACTGTGATAGGAAACCAGCATCATTTCCATCATACAAGATAATTATAAAAATAAGTAAAGTGAAAATAAAACATTGTTAGTGAGTTCCAGCTGGATGGTATTGACCTGCCAAAGGCTCTAAATCTAAGTCCTGATCTATGTAAAAAGGCAGATTAGAAAAGTGTTGGAGAGGCATTAAAGATACACAAAGGCAGCTCGGCACCTGTGGCTCAAGCGGCTAAGGTGCCAGCCACATACAACTAAGGTGGCGGGTTCGAATCTCAGCCTGGGTCCTCCAAACAACAATAATAGTTGCAACCAAAAAATAGCCAGATGTTGTGGCAGGTGCCTGTGGTCCCAGCTACTTGG